GAGTTTTTTGGAGACTTCTTCGTTTCAGAGGAAATCAAAATTGTACAACAGTTGATTTTAGTACTTGCTTAAACTTGTAAAGGGCGTTACCTGTTGCTAGTAAATACTTCCATTTTCCACCACTTAAAATTCTGCCAATTTGGAAGTAAAGATCAAACCCTACTTAAAAGAAAAAAGGCCTCTCCTATTTTCAGGCAGTCTGGATTGCTTTCTCCTGCCCCAATGACAGAAGAATAAAATATCCTGGACTTTATGCTTGGCCAATCTCTGAAGAATGCTCAAGAGCAAAACATTTTTATTTTTAAATAAGTCAATCCTCATCACCTTAGGATATTTTTTTTGAGATGTCTTTACAATGGATTTAGGAAAGACGTTAAAAAATTGCTTGGAAACATTCTTCAGAAACACAATAGCTGAAAATTTTTATGCAGCTAGTGCTCCATTACCCCAAAGTGGTATATTTACTCCCCAAATGCAGAGCTGGGCTGTCTTCAGCATACAGTTTAGAGATGCAGTTTAGCTTAGAACTTGTTCAGTAGTATCCGTGCACTGCAGTGTCAGGCTTTCTTTTCTTTGATATACCCTTTAAATTACACAGCAATCAAATTAATTATGTGGGAAATACAGATCATCGTTAGCTGTTACTGCTATAACTGCTTACCCCAGATACCCGTAGTTAAAAAATTGCTATGAAAGGTTCAGGGCTTCTCACGTTTTTTACTTTTTTTTTTTTTTAAATGAAATATTTTCAATATGATACCAGGAAGGTTACTTTGAAATACCATGACAAGCTTTTACTGAATCTGTCACAGTTCACTATGACATCATCTACATTACAGCCTAAACAGCTCAGGAAATTGCTCAATGGATTATTCATTGCTCTGTGACTGATTTCTTGGAAGGAAAGATATAAAAATTTTCTACCTGAACAGTTACTTAACACTTAAAATAAAGCATTTTATTACCAAGCATGACTTAACGCGAATCATTCAACCTTTCTGACACATTAGCATTTAGTAAGACCACCACCACAAAACCCCCAAACACTCACAACCTCTTTGGAAACAAAAGGGTCGTACAAGACTGTTAAGAGTTGAGTGCTAGTCACCTGTTATGAGCAATACCTAAATTTTTAAAAAGCTTATTCCTACAAATTAGATCTTTAAGAGACTACAAAGTGAAATTACAGGAGCAGCAGCAAAGTCTGTTGGACAAGAGGTTTGTTTTTAATGACTTCTAGCTGCCTTTACCATCAGAGTATTAGAGTCACTCTTAATTACTAGAATACTCAAACTCAAGTATGATTCCTATCTCAGCTGCAACAGACATTTACTAAAACAACTACACAAAGGGCATGATAGGTAACCCACAATCTGTTT